GGGCTACATGTGTTTGGTAGTCTAGAATTTGTAATCGGTCTCCTACCTTATCTTCACGAGAAGCGTCTTGCCCTCCAAGTCTTGTACTCAATATATACTCGCCCTCGAGGCTCAGTAATACATCCATCATATTCCGCCAATCCTTCACTATCTCTTCTAACAAGAGGAATCACGCTCCGGGCATGTGGAGTCGGGGATCAGTTGAAGACCTGGAGAGTGTCACGGGGGCGCAGTGCTCTCTGTCAGTCGCCACCACGCAGATAGCAGTACAGCCTAGGTGGATGGTAGTACATTGGTAATGGGCAACTTGCTTGCGTGTGCCCCGCTTATGTGTCGACATGCGCACGCACGAGACGCACTCCAAGAAAGAAGACAACGGGTTTAGGTTAAGCTTGTCGCCGACAGGGCACGACTTGAACTTGCGTGCTGTGCGATGCTCGCAGCCATGATGCTTATCTACCTATCTAGATAGCTAGCCAAATGGCGCATCATCATCCATAAGTGTGATGCACGACCACTGTGGGTGAAGCAACGACGCCTTTCGGTTTCGGGGCCTGCTGTGCGTGTGTAATCGGCTGAAGACGTTACTATTGCTTTGATTTGCCTCGTAGCACTAGGACGCTCGCAGTTCATCAAGCAGTTTCAGGCAGCTCGACCGACAAGGGCGTGATACGAACGAGACAAGTTCTTGTTTCTCGCCAAAGGAAATAAAAAAAATGGCGAAGTTTGTGATGACAAGCTCGTCAGTGAGTGGGCTAGATCATTCTTCCACCACGCCGTAGCCGTAGCCTTTTGGTGGTCGATAGAAATGGACAGCAAACGACGAGCATTCGTGCCCCCGGGCTATGTGGCGCACTCGCCGCGCAAGTTCGCCGCACAGCAATCCAGATCCAACTTGATCGCCTGCCACTTGGACCTGGGACATGCTTTCCGCCCCTGGCCACCCGGATGCACGCGCTACGCATGTGGACGAGTGGGCGACAAGTGTGAAGTGCCCAGACACACACAAGCGGATCCAATCCGAGGCATGCAACCAGGCAAGGATCGTACGTGGGATCGTCGTCGCTGGAGTAGGTCGATCTTATCTCGCAGCACCGACACGCGTTGACGCGCGAGCTCGTGCCTCGGACGTGATGGCCGGGCGCGGTCGGCTTGCGTCGTGAGTGTGCACGCGCGTGACGTGTGAGAAAAAAATAGCAGGATCAGAGCATCTACATCCGGACTTGCGAAATCCTCCCGCCTCCTCCCCACGGACGTCCGCGGACGTGCCAGGGCGCGTCCGCGGACACTGACCGGTCACGCCTCAAATAATGCATTTCACATCCGGATACCTTAAATCAATATTATTACATGCAACACAACGATCTTTGAGCGGGGTTTGTCCGGCTCCGCCGTGCCCATGTTTAGCGGTCGGCTACGCTTGCAAGAGTGTTGGTCCGGTCACCGGCAAGGTAGAGTAGGGCATGGGACACGAACCGGCTCACGGGACTCAAGATGCAGTCATCTCCCATGCCCTACTCTTCCTCGTCGGAGCCCGAAATCTGAACGGTGCTAGTGGATGTTAGATCGATAATGGATCCGTCCTGTGAAGAGTCGGTGACATCCACCACGACGCAGTTGCGGGCTCCCAGACTGGTGCACCGTACGGGGCACCGGAGAATGCGACTCTGCCTTGCCGACCTCCACCGCCGCGAGGGCTGCCGCCGCCTCCCGCTCCCGCTGCGTTGCACGGTGGGCACGGTGTGCCATGTTTTCGTCGGATGACGCCCATGGTGTGTCCCGGTGCTCGGCGCGTCAAAGAAGGGGTTGCGCGTCCGCCACCACGGTCGGACGCCAGACGGACCACATTGCCTCCGGTGAGGCAGCGACGACACACCTAGTGCCGGATCCATGCACCATTTGAGCGGATGCAATGGATTAAGGAGTCTGCGCGCTGTCGTGCACGGGCTTCCTCCTGGGAACGGCGGAGCACAAGCGGGACGGTCATCTCCTCCTCGGAGCCGCGTGAGATGAGCTCGGGGTCGACGAATTTGAAGGTGAGGAACTCGGATCCACTGCCCGCCATGGCAGAGACGGCCGGAGATCGTCGGAGGTGAGTTTGAGTGGCAGAGGAGAGTGGAGTGAAGTGGTTAGGGTTTGGTTTGGCGAGCGGATGGGACGGATTATATGTGGGATCGGGTGGACCGGCATGGGCCGGATCCGACGTGGTGGAGCGCCCCATATTTGAGATAGATATGAGGGGTGCCGGTAAACCCGGGCGCCCTCCATATCCGTCTCATATTTGGGCTGGGTATGAGCGGTGCCGGTCAACCCGCGCCTCCTTCATATCCGCCCCATATTTAGGCTGGATATAAGGGGTGCCGGTCAGTCCGGACGTTTGAGATCCGTTTGGGACGCTCGATTAGGTTAGATTTTCGTTACCGGTCAGCGTCCGGATAGACCGTCTAGATGCGCGGATGTTTAAGATCGGTTTGGGGTGCTCGACTTTAAATGCTCTAAGCTTTAGCAAGCTCACTCGTGATCGATGCGCATGTGATCGATGAGGCAAGGGTTGCTGAGTAGTAGTGAGTGGTAGTATACACTCCGCCCACTGTCCTTTTTGTTCAGAAAGTTAGGGCCTGAGTTGTATACTTGCCCGATGATTTGACTTGACCGACTCCACATAGAGTTGACTATCTCTTTTGCGCATGGCATATTATTATTCACTGCACATTTACAGCTACAACGTATTCACAATGGGAGATCAAGTAGGACGCAATACAGTACACTTGAACATAATGTCGGAGTAGTAGTATCAGAGCTGCTATACGTATGACATTTTCACGTCGGAAACACATACCATGTGTTGTTGCATGTGCTTTCGTCCAATCAACCAGCTCCATCGGGATAAGAAAACAAATGCAGCTCCAGGAACAAACGATTCCATCACCTGGAGGCTCAACGCATCAGGCTGCTACACCACAAGCTCTGCGTACAAGGCTCAATTCAGTAATAGACGGATCACCTCCTTCAAGTCCATCATCTGGAAAACCTGGGCGCCTGGCAAGGTCAAGATGTTCTTCTGGTTGCTGCATCTAGATAGACTGTGGTGCAATGATCGTCTGCAAAGGAGAGGCTGGGAAAACGGATTTTTTTGCCGGCTATGCATGCGCAATCTAGAGACCTCTGTTCATCTATGCTGGGAGTGCCCGGTTGCTTTGCAAGTCTGGCAGGCAGGGGCAGCTTGGACTGGATGTGCCTCTCTGAATCAGGCCTTCTGGTGCAACGAAACCACTACAACGGGCCGTGTTCAAAGAATAATAGCGGCGGCAGCACCAGGACACAGGAAGGGTGTACGAACCGTGGTGGCACTGATCTGCTGGCAAATATTGTTGGAACGCAACGCCTGTACCTTCAGAGGAAAGCTGCCAGACGCAACACATATCACTCAGGCCTGCAAGCGCGACATGGAGCAATGGCGAATGGCCGGGGCCAAGTGCATTGAGTTACCCTTTGGGGAAGTAACGTGAAAATATTCCATAGGACTTGGGCCCAGCTTCAGGGGCAGCTGTAATTTTTCCATCTTCTTGATCACTTGATCACCCTTTGTACTCTCTCTTCTGCTCAAATCAATGAAATGTCAGCATTGCTGGCCGCTTCAAAAAAAAAATGCAGCATGTTGTCCAGCGAAGACACCTCAGATCGTATGTACAAAGATCGTGTGCAAAGCAATTTCGTAGTACAGTATATCCTAGAGAAAAAAAAAGGAAAACATCATACTACTTGTATAACAAATTTGGAAATTTCTGGCGGGCTACGTTACCTTGTGCGTTCGCTATCCATATGTGCGCACATGAAGCCGAGGTAAAATCGTGTTTCAGCCATCTCCTTTTGATTCTATCTCCTTCCATCCTCGGAACACCAGCCAATTTGGCAGGCTAATCGCTTTCCTAATTCCAACCGTCAATTTCCAAACCAGCAAAGCCACGCAATTAGGCTGACTAATTGAATTCAACTGCCAACAGCATGTACGACCCATCCGACCGGCCACCCATGCATGATGGACATGTAATTCTGCCACCCGCAAAGCCCCATCGTCATCACCCCATCAATACGCCCACACGTACGTGTACGTGAGTTGAGTTAGAGCCGCAAATACAATGAGACCGACGATCTTAATTAGAGCTAATCAAATCGAGCGACCTAATCTAATCATGGTCAGATCAGCGGGTCTTACTAGACTGATGATGATTAATTTTAGCTATACGTGGTGGTGGTTCATTAACTAGCCGAACCGCCCCGGGTCCCGACCGGCTCGTGGGGCTCTACAAATACCCGCGGAACGGCGACGCACGACGGCACAAGCGCACGGGATTCGCAAGCGCACCACCAGAGGAGAGGAGCCAAGGCCAAAAGAGTCGGCGAGGAGGAGGAAGGGACGTCGACCATGGGCGTGAGCCTGGCGCAGGCGGTGGCGGAGCTGGTGGGCAGGTGCGCGCGGCGGCTGTCGCTGGCGGCGCGGCGGCTGCACGTGCGCCGCCCGCCGGGCTCGTCCTTCCCGTCGCGCGCCGTCGTGCCGTTCCTCGGGGCGGCCGGGGGCAAGGCCAAGAGGGCGCTGTCGTGGCCGGCGACGACGTCGTCGAAGAAGGAGAACAAGGCGGGGCCGACGGAGGAGTGGGGCCTGGAGGCGGAGGACGGGGTATGGAGGAAGGAGATACTCATGGGCGAGCGGTGCCAGCCGCTGGACTTCTCCGGGGCCATCTACTACGACGCCGAGGGCCGCCGGCTCGGGGCCCCGCCCACGCCGCGCACGCCCATGAGGAGCCCGCTGCCGGCCTCCCTCAAGCTCGCCGCCAACGCCTGATCGTCCCCTCCCACCCCTGCCGGCCGTGATCGCAGCAGCTCGCTCCGCGACTTGGCCAAGATCCATCATGCCTCCCTCTGCCTCACTACTGTACTGTACATGGTTCTATTGCCGCTCTGTTTTTCCTTCGCTCCTCTCATCTCGAGAAACCTCTGCTTTTGGCGTGCGTAGTGACTAGCTAGTGAGCACCGTGACACCATGTAAAAGAAGTTTTAACGAACAGTGTTACTAAATCTCGGTCGATGCTATATAATGAGATCTTACATGGAAATCGTGCTAAATCTCAGTAGCTTTGCTTTCGTCACTGTGACTGTTTTTTTTTCGAGAAAATTTCTGATCTATTCATCTTCAATTATATGGCAGTAGAACGAATACCAGAAATAATAGAAATTATATCCACATCCGTAGACCACCTAGCGACGACTACAAGCACTGAAGCGAGCCGAAGGCGCGCTGCCGTCATCGTCCCTCCATTACCAGAGTCGGGCACAACTTGTTGTAGTAGACAGACGGGAAGTCGTCGTGCTAAGGCCCGGTAGAACCAGCGCACCAGAACAGCAACCGTTGCAGGTGAAGAATAACGTAGATCAGAAGGATCCAATCCGAAGACACATGAACGTAGACGAACAATGACGAGATCCGAGCAAATCCACCAAAGATAGATCCACCGAAGACACACCTCCACACGCCCACCAACGATGCTAGACGCACTGCCGGAACGGGGGCTAGGCGGGGAGACCTTAATTTCATCTTCAGGGAGCCGCCGCCGTCTCGTCTTCCTGAGTAAGACACAAACCCTAGCAAAACTGAAAGAAACGACTAAAAGCGAAGCCCTCCCGCCGGCCCTTGCCGAGATCCACCATGCCCCCATGGCCCTAGGGCCACCGGAGAGGAGGCGGACCTGCGGCGGCGCCGGCGGGAGGCAAAAACCCTAACTTTTTTTATGGAGGAGGTGGAGGCGGCGGCTAGAAAGAGGAGACACCACCCGACATATCAGTGGCAACTGAGACCAACAATTACTGTGACCGTTGTTTCACTCAGAAATACATGACTCGCCGCAAATTGTATCTCTAAAAATGCTAGATTCCTAGTACATGTTCTTCTACCCACTCATGCCACCAGAAACTTGTAGAGGCACGCAGATAGAAGGACACACATTTGCCCAGCCGTGTCGACAGCTTGATTGCCCCGTGATCCACAAAGTCGTTGGATTTCCCATGGGGTCACAAAGTTTTAGGTTTGAAACCTTATGTTATTGTCATTAAGTTTTAAGTTTTCGTCGTTTGCTCAACCAAGTTTCAACAGTTGAAACTTAATGAAACTTCGAAAAGTCATTAAGACTTATTTAAAATTAATCTTATTTAAAGCCTTCGTCGGAAACACGAATATGCAAATGGAATTTAATTTGAAGTTTTGGTTCAAAAGATATAACCGATTAAAAATCAAAAGCCAAAAGAAAAATGGGCATGCGTTCCACCGGCACCACCCATGTGTGCCACAAATCCCCTCCCATGCCCCTTGAATTTCACTACCTCGATTTTCATTTGTGGACTTTCACGTCACCTCACAAGTTTCAGCTGTAAAAACAATATCCTTGTTAACTCTTGTATCTTTGACTTAATAAGGTATCAGGGTTTATCCTCTTTGAGAAGCACGGGTAGATGTGTGGAACAGTAATTTATAGGGACATTGAGAGTTGAAAGAATCTTAGCAGGCACACACAAACACGAAGTTTGTATATGGAGATTGCTCTGGTGTAGTTTGAATAAAACTCATGTACTTGGGTTGGGTGCATATTTAAAAAAATACGAAACCCAAAACACAACGCTTATCAGCCGCCTCCGAGTTAAAACAACCAACGAATGAAGGAGAAGAGTGGTTAATCGTGGGATGTAATATGTGGCCCAATACTTAATTAGACATTTCTTGGTTGATGAGACATTACCCACGCTTGAAACCTTAGTCTTTGAGGGGGTCAATGTCGACGATGATCACGCTAGAGGGCAGCCTTCTCCTCCTTGAAGGCGCAATTGAAGAGCGCTCCCTCTACACTGGGTTGGAACTGCTCATATTTGGGCCAGCATTGGAGGCTGTTGGTGTGGCCGGATCCGGTCCCGTGTTCAATGGGTGATCGTTTGTGGTCGGGGATGATGGTACACACAGATGTCGTTTTTCTTTTGAAGGTGGTTCCGAAGAGCCCACTCACACATCACTTCGGGTAGCAGACATGTTTGGGATGGATGAAAGCTTTGGTCAATGGTATTGCCCTGCTTGTGTGCATTGTTTTATTTATTTATTTGTCATGTAAAAAATCTGCATAACTTTCTTGTTTTTCCTACCTCAAGGGATATTCCTTGATTACAATATTTTTTACACAACATTTTCCAACTTGCTCCTTCGGTACTTGATTGGCACACACACACATTGATCAATGAAAAAAGTAAATTATACTTTTTACCCCATCTTTTGGCATATTTTTACGGAGTTGCCCTATTTATTCAAAATTCATTGGGTTTTACCTCATTTAACCAAATATGTGTCATGTTTTATCCTTTTAAAATTTTGTAGCCGTTCTGCCAAGTTGGTCCCACATGTCAGGGCTGACATGGCATGCCACATGGATGGGTTTTAATTTTCCCTATGCGGTTCATTTTCCCGCTAGACCATACACTGATATAAAGGCTTCTATTGTCTAATAAAAAACACATTTGCTTTTCTAATATAAAAAGAATCCATTCAATCATTATATCAAAAGCTGATAAAATCACTCTAAACTTAACATAAAAGAAACACTTATATTATGCTATCTGTAAAAAAAAGTACTTCATCCTAACTATACAAATTGAATCAAAGTTGTACTAAAACAACGACAATTAATATGGATCAGATGGAGTACTGTATTTTTTCTTGAGTTGTTTGAATTGCTTACCATGTGTGTCACTCTTAATATGGATCAGATGGAGTACTGTATTTTTCTTTTGATTTGTTTGGATTGCTTACCACATGTGTCACTCTTAATATGGATCAGATGGAGTACTGTATTTTTTTTTTGAGTTGTTTGGATTGCTTACCATGTGTGTCACTCTTAATATGGATCAGATGGAGTACTGTATTATATTATATATATACGTTCACGCTTAATATCAAAATTGTACTAAAACAACAACAATTAATATGGATCGAAGGGAGCATTATATTATACATATGCGTTCGCCCTTATCGCAGATCCAAGTTGCTTTACACTGGCCAAACAGAAGAAGGGCCTTAGCTTAAACGGGAAGAATTGGTTTGGCATAACAATATCCGGTACAACAACCGGTTGTGCATGCGTTCTAAATGTTTGTTGCGATTCATCATGCTACCATGGAAACATTCGAGACCCACAGCGTGATTATCAATTAGCAGACTCGCATGGCTTTTCCCCCACATCGTTCTAAACTAACTAAATGAAAACAACATATTGAAAGGAAACTTATTGTCCGATATTATTTTCGGTATAGATAGAGATGGATATGCGAGACTTGAAACTACCATACAGTGGACAGCAGTATAGGAATGATTAATTTCAGTTTTTGCTATTTGCCAGCTGCCCTAAAATAGGATCCGGTCGATTTCGCGTGAAGAGCAACAACATAGCTCCGAGGCTGAGACCGGG